AGTGTCACGAGCAAACATGCTGCTGCTGGCAGCCCTCGTGGCCACAGCCGCTTGGTCCTGTAAGTCCTTCCTTATTTCCTTACCTTTCCTCAGAGCAGCCATGGCTGTGCTAACAGGCGTCTTCCCAAATCCTTGAATTCCAGCTAATGGCTTCGTTACTCCCTTCCTCTTTCCTAGATGGATATGCACAAGAAATTCCTGTTCAGAGCCCTATATCCATCACCAAGTTCCAAAGAAGTGCACGGATGACATGTGAAATTCAATCACTAGAGGCAGGTTTTGACAGCACCGTCATACACTGGTATCAACAGAAGGAGGGTAAAGCTCCAGAGAGGCTTCTCTTCTTTTCAGGAGGGCAGACTGTAGTTGAAAGTGGCTTTCAAGCAAACAGGTACATGGCTGAAAAGGTTTCTAGCCAGAACCGGTGTGTTCTTACCATAAAGGATGTCATTCCGGAAGATGCTGCTACTTACTACTGTGCCTACTGGAACCCTCACTGTGACAGAAATTCAAAGAATGTCAAGCCAAAAAAATGCCTCCCTCAACGTCTGAACCACAGGGTTATAACTGTGCCACTCCCCCAGTCTTCTCACCCCATCGGACATGAGCTGCTGAAAGGACAAACCTTCTTCTGCCACCCAAAAAGAGCAGCTGGCCCTGCACAACTGTCCCTTTCAAAGTCTGGGTTGCAACTACCACTCTGGTTTTCAAACACACACTCACTATTTTAAAGGCAAAGGAAGTCTGCACTGCCTTAAGACTTAGCATAGAAACACTGGAAACTCACCTGCTCCTTTGGTGCTGGTTGCACAGCCATGGCAGAAGCCTGGTGGCCTTGAGGGGAGCAAACATTGCATTGATTCTCCAGTCCATCCACTCTTCTCCCCTAGGAAAGAAAAGGCAGTAAAAGAAAGACAACACGCTGAAGAAAGAACCTTGGTGGTGTGAATGCTGCTTGCCACTGCTCTGCACTTCAAAGAAGAACATCCGCACAAGAGTCATCTTTGCTCTATGTGTAAGCAACTGCAAGACCCTGGAAGTACTGTTTCCCTAATTCAGGTATCACAAAATCCCACACGGAACAATTCAAATCCATCCAGATTTACAATTGCTTATCTACCACAGCTGATGACGTGCTGCTTATAACCACCCTCTTCTTTCATTACATGTTCAGGCACACAGGATAAAAAGGTTTTCCTGGAAGGAAGGAGATTGCCAGAAACCATCTAGTTTGATGGATTTCTTTCAAATTTGCAGAGAGTTAGCATATGGCCCTGGGCACAGTAAGCCTTTCACAGAAGAGCCTGAGAGGAATAATTGTTGCCTTTAGCCCAGTATGTGCCTACTCAGCAGCTTCTCTTTTCCTGATCAGGGCTTGAATTTGGTACCTGAAGTGCTGGACCACCACACAGAATGAGCTATGGGACTCCAGAGAGATTAGGTAAGAGAAATCATGATGTCAGAAGGCTCCCTGAAGCAGACCTCACCCTAGTCGCTGCATGTGGT